GAGGAGAAACTAAATCATCAAATCAAATTAATTCATTATTATTATTTCCTTTGGTTTCTGATGCATACACATTTATTTGTGGGTCCCAACCAGAGACCTAAGGCCAGAAATGGCTTCATGGTCTTTTCCACTGAGCATTTTTGTAAAAAAAACAACAACAAAAAACTAATATCACACATATTTTACATCGATAAAACACATCATAGTGTGTGAACTGTACTTGTGAGCACATTTTTTAAAAATTTCTTTAAGGCATGGCTTATTAGGAATCCCTTTAGTGAGTCCATCGGAAGCTTTATTATTATTATTATTATTATTACCTGCCGACGAATGTTTTTCATTTATTTTAGCTTTCTTCAAAATAACTATACAATTAATGTCGATATTGTGACAAGGTTGAAATAATGCAATTAAAACTAACAAACAAGATTCTAAGTAAATAGAAAATGTATCCTTTTCTTGCATAAAACACACACACTCTCATATTGTACAAACAATATTACAAAAGATGAATTAGTTGAAAGTAGAGATTTTATTGCTTTCTTGCCATTCATTCTACCCTTCTTCTATGGATTACAATTTTCTTTCAATCATTTGAATAATTTCTTATACATACCTTTTTTCTTCTCTAATTGGGAAAATATTCAAGAGGATTTTCTTTGAATTCTCTAAAAAGCGAATACTTAAATTTATGATCGGTCTAATTTGATTGAATGGATTAATTTCTGTGAACTTCTTCAGCTTTTGTTTAAGTAAATCTGCATTTTCATCATAAAAAAAACTTGATCCTATAAGGTGAGAGTTGTTACACTGATTTTTGTCATGTGGTCTTTTTTATTTTGTCCTTCCCTCAATATCAATGAATGGACATACTCCAATCTTACCTGTTTTCTCATTTTAACTATTAGATTCATTTCAAGATATGTTAATATTTTCTCAGCTAACATTAGTCTTACACAATAGTAGGATATTTGATAAGGAGCGGTTCCTCTCTTTATATCACGAAATATCACTCATCGTTAGAGTTAATAGGTAGAAATCTATATACACCCCCCTACACCAAAAAAAACTTCAGTTCATCATCGAGAAAGATGCCGATTTCTAGGAGGATGGAGATGACAAAAGGTATCTGTCTATATTTCTGAGATGAGGTATTATGTACACTATTTACATTATTCGGACTATTATCCTCATCTTTGTTGCCATATTTATTACAACGTTTCGGCCGTTGTACGCTCCGGCCTTCTTCAGGTGGTTGTAATGTCGAACTGGAGTAGACTGTTCTAGTTTTACGTGCATGATTAATGGATGTCAGTTATCAGTTATCTCCTGTTAATTCCCCTCTCCAAGTTCTCCACTGCCTTAACCGGGCATTGAACTCACACTCTATGGGTTCTGTCACTGGATCTAACTAACGCCTTTATCCACTGTGCCATGTGTGTATGAATTTCTGGGTATTATAAACCTAATTTCTTTAGCAATCATTTTTTGCCAGTGCTCATATTACAATTTTTGCTGTTATCATAACATGTTTTTACCAGAGCTCATATTGCAATTTTTGTTGTTGTTATCGCTTTTCTCTGGCACTCCTTATTACTGGTTCCCATATTGTATTCGTTTCTATGTTTGGTCGGCTCAGGAGATTTTTGTGGCCTAGCATATGTGCTGATTCCTTAATCTCCTAGAACAATCTACCCCAGTGAGCGAAATAAATGGTTCAGTTTGACATTTCAGCCACCTGAAGAAATTCCGGACCGTATAGCGGCCGAAACGTTGTAATAAATATGGCGACAAAGATGAGGAGAATAGTCCGAATAATGTAAATAGTGTCCAATCTTGCCTGTTTTCTCATTTTAACTATTAGATTCATTTTAAGATTTGTTAATATTTTCTTTTCAATTCTGTTAACAATTTGTTTGACCAAGAAGATCAAATGAACGTAAATCACAAAATTCCTGTTTTTGCATACAAATGCTTATTGTTCATATAACTACATCATTATAAAACTGTTACATAATAATTGGCTTAACAATTGCTGTTCTTCGCCCAACGTACATGTTTCACTTAGTGCCCTTTAATCAAAGATGTTACTTTGTTTTCATGTCTTTATTCAATGAGTTCTTCATATTCTGTACATTTTTGTCTGCTTATATTTGCAACAGCAGTTTCTTCAAACATTTTCTTCCTGTCTAATCCACTTGTTTATTATTCTTTTAATTTTTATTTTTTAATTTTCTAGTGATCGGGGAAACATCCCCTTGGGAGTCTGTTCCACATGGGCAGTGGTTCGCAGGAAGAAGCTGTTCGAGTGGAACTTACTTCTCAAAAAGGGAATACGGAAGGAACGTGAATGGGTTTTGGCTACAATGGAAGTCTCATGGCGGGTCCTACCCGTGAAGATTAGAACAGGCGGAATCAAAGAATATAGTTCATCTGAGCACTTTCCATGGACGTAGCGATAGAGCCGTAAGACGCTTTGGGGATCTATTTTGAATTCTATCGACACGGAAAATGAGGACTGCTGTTTTGTTGTTTCTGAAGATCTGTAATCAAATCTTTTCATTATTCCTTATATTTTCAAACAATCATTATTTCTACGAATGATCTTATCTCTAACCCAGCCATCAGTTTCAACCAATGTAGCTCTAAATTCATTATTAAATATTACTGCCAATAAATCACTTGTATATGTTTGTTATTGGTTCCGTTGTAGGTGTTGATCAGTTGTTGATGATTTTGCCTTGTTATTGAAGTAAAAAATTATTTTCTACTTTTGCATCATAACTTCAGTCTGCAATTTTTATAATAAATCCAATATCATGAATAAAACATGGTGAAACTGCCTAAAAATTTAACTCAAGTTATGTTTTGACGAATAAATTAATAGACTAAAATTTGAAAAAATTGTTCAAAGCAAACTCGAGTTTTTTTGTTTTTTTTTAAGCATTTCACCCCAAGCAAGGCGGGGAGCCACTAGGACGTAAGGGGTTACAGAAAATAGGAAGATCAGATAGGAGTGATAGAAGAAAGGATGAGGGTAGTAGATAGATTAAGGCAACTGGAGATGTCGATTGACATTACACTTGAATAGCTGGAGATTATAACTCTCAGGGAAACAGGAGAAGGGAAGAGAGTTCCACAGGCGAGAGGTGCGAGACATGAAGCTATTAGAGTAGAAGAGACGGCTACATTTAGGAGTTTCGACAGTGAAGGGGTGAGAGCGGGATGCCAGCCTCGTAGGGCGCTTGAACTCATGAAGTTTGGGAACCAGCGTATGCAGTTCCTCGGAGCAATTTCCATGAAAGTATTTATAGAACAGACAGAGGGAGGCGACGGTGCGTCTGTGAGAAAGTGACTGTAGACGAGACGCCAGGGCAGGGCCAACCATATTGCATATCCGCTTCTGGAGCCTATCAAGAACCCCGAGGCAAACAGAAGGGGCGCCAGACCATATATGGCAGCAATACTCCATGCAAGGGCGAATTGTGGATTTGTATATCTGGAGGATCGACTCAGGGGAGAAAAACTTCCTAGCGCGGCTCAGGGAGCCAATTATGTGATATGCATAATAACTTCAGACGAACGCTTTAAAACATATATTCAACTGTTAATAAATAGCATAATTTTTAAAAAATCTTTTGATCTACACATATTTCGTCTTTGTGTTTACCTATGTATGGGAAAAAATTGAGCCCTGAAGATGATAATTTGAAATTGTCGAAAGTACTTGGCCTGTGTTTTTCATCTGACAACTTGAATATAAGGATCGTATTATTCAAGGAATTGATAATCAGTTAAGGACTAATTAAGTCTTGTTAGCGAAGTGATTTCACCATTAATCACATTAACATTACTAATTAATTCTTTGTATAAATAGCTTTTTTTGTGATATAAAATATAAGCTTCACACTCTAATATATTTACGAAAACCGGATCCCCAGTACGTAATAATCAGAATCTTAAATTGTGTGGAAAACTACTAAGACATTTTACTCTATTAATTGAATTATAATTAAGTCCATGTCACTTTAACTGAAAAACACATATAACAAGAAAATTTCGTGGTTTTATCACTTTTCAAAATTCAAACAAAATTCTCTCTTTATTGATTTGAACGAAAACTCTAGCGTCGCGGCATCGCACGTTCCAAAACATATATTTATCTGTGAATAAATAGTATAATAAAAATATATATCTTTCGGTCGACACATATTTCGTCTGAGTGCCTATGTATGGGAAAATTGCGCCTTGAAGATGACAATTTGAAATTATCGAAAGTACTTGACATGTACTTCTCCGCCCAATTTACACATTTCTTTGTGATGTTTAATTAACGATGTTAATTTGCTTGTTTTCATGTCTTTATTCAATGAGTTCTTCATATTCTGCACTTTTTCTCTGTTTACATTTGCAACACCAGTTTCTTCAAACACTTTCTTGCTGGCCAGTCCACTTATTTATCGTCCTTTCAATATTTTCTGAAATCTCTTTTGTGACATTCTTAAAGTCAGATCTTTTTCGTTTTTATTTTGCCAATATTTTCACTTTCTTTTTTTTCAATGTCTCTTCTGTAATCTGTTCAGCTTTGCCAGAATTTCCAAAATTACGTTGTCATCACTGAATAACTTTACATATCATATTTCTCTTTTGAGCTTATATCTATCTCATGAGCCATTGAAATCTTTATATATTTAAAATTAAAGAAATAAACATTAATAACTATAATGTGAAACAGATTTATATACAGTATAAAGAACTAAAATTGAGTTGATTAATAAAGTTTTACAATCGCAAAATTGAATTGTAAATATTACTAATGAAAACAAATAAGCTGAAATTCAAATGATACATGCTTTATGTAAATGTATATCCTGAAGATTTTATTAATATCAATTAATATCAATTTTATTACGAAAACATTGACTTGCATAATAAAATCGAACACATAATTACCTAAATTTGAGGAAACTTCATATGAACTCAGTTTCTAGAGTGAGTTAATGTCTCCCTCTGTTCCGTTCTATATAAGTCAGCCATATCTATATCTGGCTGTTAATATCTATCTATCTATCTATCTATCTATCTATCTATCTATCACAGTCTGGTGATTATCTACTTATCTATTGCAGACCTCTCAATCTATCTATCTCAGTCTGTTTATATCTATCTATCTATCTATCTATCTATCTATCTATCTATCTATCACCGTTTGGTCATTATCTATTTATCTATTACAGTCCTCTCAATCTATCTATCTCAGTCTGTTCATTATCTATCTATCTATCTATCTATCTATCTATCTATCTATCTATCACCGTCTGGTCATTATCTATTTATCTATTACAGTCCTCTCAATCTATCTATCTCAGTCTGTTCATTATCTATCTATCTATCTATCTATCTATCTATCTATCTCATCCTGTTTAATATCAATTAATACCAATTTTATTGGGAAAATCATGACTTGCATAATAAAATCTAACCTAGTGTATTTGTTGATTAATCAGTAAAATTACATCCAATTTTTCAAAAGAATGTTTTCTACACCCAAATTCTGGGTCATAATGGAGCTAAAACTGAGAAACCAAACTTCCACCTTTGGAGCCAATGTTTTAAAACATTTATTATTTCTGAAGATCTGTAATCAAGTCTTTTCATTATTCCTTATATTTTCAGACTATCATTTTTTAACACAACATTTCAACTGCTGCATAGCATATCTACTTACATTGAGTTTATAGCATTTCGCTCAACAGATATCAATGAGTTGACAGGCTCTAATCTTAACTATCTTCTCATTTTTACTATTAATATGCGTCTTTGACACCTTTTTTAGGTGATTTTATTAAACTAGCGACGAAGAATCTGTCATAAACATTTGAAAGCAGAAAGTGACCCTAACCCCAGTCTCCGTCACTATTCGTTTTTTTTTCCAGGTCTACCCTCGACAGTAAAAGAGATGACATTCGCTAAGACAGTAAAAAGAAAAAATGAATGTCCCACCAACAGCTCTTTTTATTAAAGCTACGCTCTCTAAAAGATTAAATATTTTATTAAGACAAAATATATCGAAAGTATTCTAATGCCGGAATCTTCCACGATTCATTTTACGTCCACGATCATTCAATGTGTCTGCTTTCCTGAAGAAACTAAACCCGATACAAGAAGTAGAATATTTAAAAAGGCGAGCGATAAAAGTGAAAATAAAAACAGCAAAATCCATTATTTATATTAGTCGGACTATTGTCCTCATCTTTGTCGCCATATTTGTCACAACGTTTCGGCTGTTGTACTCTCCGGCCTTCTTCAGGTGGTTGGAATTTCGAACTGGACCCTTTATTTCGATCACTGGGGTAGACTGTTCTAGTTCCACGTGCCATGTTTGATGGATGTCAGTTATCAGTTATCTCCTGCTAATTTTCCCTCTGAAAGTTCTCCACTGCCTTAACCAGGAATTGAACTCACCTTCTTTGGGTCTGTCACTGGATCTAACCAACGCCTTTATCCACTGTGACATGTGTCCTTGAGGACACGTGGCACGTGGAACTAGAAGAGTTTACCCCAGTGATCGAAATAAAGGGTTCAGTTCGAAATTCCAACCACCTGAAGAAGGCCGGAGCGTACAACGGCCGAAACGTTGTGACAAATATGGCGACAAAGATGAGGACAATAATCCGACTAATGTAAATACTGTACATAATACCTCATCTCAGAAATATAGACAAAATCCATGTAAAGTGTCCAGAAATTAGTCGATCAGAATCCATCAAAAATATGCCAGACTCCCACGTCTTTTTTGCAAACCCGACAGAAAGCAGTAGAGTTTATCTGAAATATCTTACTACACGTACTCATCTTATCTTGCACCTTTTGATCCCCACTTATTTCAAGGCCTAAATAAATTATCTTAATAGGAAGAACTACAATTCTCTGGAAAAGTGTTATCACCACCTTCATTTCAGGTCATTTGAACAGAGGTTGAGGTTTATCCCTTGCTTCTTATTTAGGATTGGGTTTCCGGTTCCTTCTGACGTCTATTTCAACTCTATACTTCTAAAATTTCCACGTAAACCCTAAAATTTTATTTACTATTTTTATCTTTATTTTTTTAAATTTTCATCCTCAATAGTGACTAAATAGGTTCGCCTATCATCCAATTCACACTCCTCTCCGGCCATTTAAACAAAAGTAGAGTTTTATCCCTTGTTTCCTGTTTAGGATTGGATTTCCGGTTCCTTCTAAAATCTACTTTAACTCTATACTTCTAAAATCTTCGCCTAAACTCTGAAATTTTATTTACTATTTCTTTCTTTATTTTTTTATTTTCTTCCTTAATAGCGAGTAGACAGGGTTCGCCTATAGTCCGGTTCACACTCCTCTCCGGCCATTTGAGCAAAAGTAGAGGTTTATCCCTTGTTTAGGATTTAGTTTCTGTTTCCTTCAAAAGTCTACTTTGACTCTATACTTCTAAAATCTTCGCCTAAACTCTGAAATTTTATTTACTGTTTTTTTCTGTATTTTTAATTTTCTTCCTCAATAGTGAGTAGATAGGTTTACCTTATCGTCCGGTTCACACTCCTCTCTGGCCATTTGAACAAAAGTAGAGTTTTATCCCTTGTTTCTTGTTTAGGATTGGGTTTCCGGTTCTTTCTAATGTTTTTTCTTTCTTTTTCACTTTCAGTAGACCCTCACGTCTTAGTGGCATTATCGTCTTGCTTGAATTAAATTGATAAAAAAAAAGCAGGAGACAGCTGAGCGAGGTCGGCGAACACATCTAAATCTACCTAGTGTCTGTATCTTTAGCAGTTTTGGTGTAAAAATATAAGCGGTACTTTGTTTATTTCTCTGTTCCATATAAGTTCGATTCTATCGATAAATCTGTTATTACTCAGAAAAATTGCGTTCTAGTGACGAAATGTGTTACGCAGGATTTTTTTACATTTGTTTTTTTCAATATTGTCATCCAATTTATAGTTGTTCCTTTGATTGCAAAGAAGACTGTCTTGCAGTTACATCAAGGCATCCAGAGGTGACTCCGCAAACCAAGTCTGGACGAGCAGTCTGGATCAGTGGGCGCACAAGACGTCGATGATTGTGATAAATGGCAAAGTTGCACGGTGGGGCTCTTCTCTTTGTGTAGCGAGTTATTGGCCCTAGGGTTCTTCAAGCTTGCAAGCACAATCGGTTGGTATCACACACCTCTAGCTCATTTGGTTTCTGATCTAGCAACACCAGTGGGGGGTTAGTTTTGTAGAGTTCCTCTGGTCGGCCTTGACATCTACCACATAAGCAGCACTGCAAACGACGGGCATCTGGGAATGTGATGCTGCTTCATGCGGATGACGCTGCCAATGCATCGGACTTGTACCTGGATTTGATGCTAGTCGAGTTCCGCAAGATCCAAAATTTCGAGTTTTTCAAAATGTTGTCATTCAATTACATACGCACATATAACCCAGGAAGTTTACATTCTCACATCGTTGTCCAAGTTGTACAAAACCTTTAATTCAGCCGTCCTGGGTAAGACGATAAACTACATCTGCGTCCTGGGTATGACTGTAAACTACATCCGCGTCCTGGGTAAGACGTTAAAATACATCCACGTCCTGGGTATGACGATAAACTACATCCGAGTCTTGGGTATGACGATAAACTAGGTCCAACAACAGGGCCTCTGATCAGGAGGTTTTGAGGAGCGTGGAACTACCTCTTAATTGCTGGTGTACCCAGGTCCACTTTGACCTGGGGTGGTAGCACCTGTTAGCGTCCTAACTATGGGCAAACAGTTAACCCCTAAACTGGGTTTAAACCTCTTCAATACATTTTTTGACGAAAAATACATATGTCAGCAATACATTTTTGTAAATAATTATTATCAACCATATATTAGTATCAGCAATACATTTTTGTAAAAAAATATTACCAGTAATGAATTTTTGACAAAAAAAAAAAAGAAAAGAAAAGAAAGATTACCAGCTATACATTTTTGAAGGAAATATATTACCAGCAATAAAAATTGTCGGCATTAAATAACCAATTGAGGTTGATATGTCGTAAAACAAACCAAACCAAACCTTTAATTCAGTTACATAGTGAACTTTAAGGAATATGGAAAACTATTTTGTGTTTTGTTGAATGATTAAATTTTGTTAATTGCTATAATAACTTGTAATATTTATGTCAGATCACTCTACGAGGGCTGCTGGTACCACGTAACAGAATACTACGTTGGGCATGGATGTGTAATCGGTAACTAAACCAGTTCCCACATCAAGCTTTTATGGTGATGAGCAAGATTCAAAACAAGACCTATGAAAGAGCAGAAGGACCTTCGTGTAGGGTCAAAGGCCATCTGGCACAACGGGGTAGATTGGGATCCACAGTTATATATGCAGTCATTGCCGTGGGGTGACGCGTGTTTTCTAGACTGAATTTAACGACCAGAGAGGAGAGTTCCCTCGATGGACTCAACGGATTCGTCTCTATGACCAAGGTGATCCGTCAAGTCGGGGATTTGACCTAGAGAGGGACAGACTCCGCCAGGTCTATTTTTGTCCAAAACACGTTGCGCCTGAGTGCAGACCTGTCCAGCTTTCAACCCAGATATGTGAAAATAACTGGCCAGGTTCTCAGCTGAGCAGCGACTCTACGACCGCACCTGGTCAAAGAACTGATGATGATGATGACGATGATGACGATGATGATGATGATGACGATGACGATGATGATGATGACGATGATGATGATGTAATAATTTTGTCGCTGTTAGAATTGAAACTGTTGGGAGAGTTTTCTTATTAGGAAAAAATTATTATATCATTTACTGAACTAAAAACACTATTTATCTAAATTATCGCTTAATTAAATTAAAACATTTAACACCTCCAGGAAAAAAACTCGTTTTCTTAAGCAAGTCCATCACATCTTTCTTGCATCAATAAACTGAATCTAGCGAAACAGATTAAAAAAAAAACAACAACAGTTTAGCCATACGGTCAGACGAATCAATGTTATAATGCCACGTGATTTAAATATTTAAATTTGGGAAAAATGTCTGAAAATTGCTTAACATTATCAAAGCCGTTCAATGGAAGGATTGCATTCATATGAATATAACAATGTTTCAGCGTAACTTTAACGAAAATTTAAAAATAAAAAAAAGCCAAATGAAATACGTTTGACTTGACAGTTGCAAGCAAAAGAATATAAAATGGCGATTAGAAATGTCTGAAAATAAACGCTAAAGTATGACGTCATCTTTTCAATGAGCGTGACAACGCAGGATTCGAAAAGGACATTGCAGTCTCACATTGGAATGTTTAATTTGTTCGTTTTACAAAAAGAGGGAAAAATTTAAGACGCAAAAGTGAATAATGTAAGCGGGCGAATCGTTGAACGGAGACATATTTAAAAAGAAAAAA